GTATACATATGTATATATATATAAATGCTAGGATCCTTTGAGGATTCTATTGGGAAAAAAAAAAAGCAGAGTGCTGCAGAAATTTTTTTTGAGTTAGCAGCAGCAGTTGCCTGCAGGATGTCATTGGCATTCCCTTTGGAAGCCATTCATTAATGTTCTTTTTCCTTGCCTTTCCAATGAAACTCGAAAGGATTGCGGTCATCTTCACAGGTGTTCATAAGCTGCCGTTGTTTCAAGTTATTTGTGTTGCATAATTGAAATTATTATAGGATATGTGTGCTCCTCCAACTGGATKGGAGTGTCATTAGTAGATGGATGTCATTAATAACTGGGTGATGCTAATTTTGTTACTTTCATTTTCAGATGGATTTGTTTGGTGGTTTTCATCCAATTTTCTTGCCTTTTCAGGATTTTCTTAAGACAGAAAAATTAATGCAAAGACTCAAGTTTCCATTTAATGATGGAGTTCTTGTATGCCTTAGTACATTTTTTAAGTGAATGTTATTTTTGTGCCTAAGCCTTCTTTTATATTTCCTTGTAGCATCATTGGCTGGTGCAGTTCATTATTATTTTTGTTCGTTTCATGCTGATTTCTTGATATGATCAATTTAACCTATGCCTTTTTGGTACTTCTTGCTTTTAKTCTTCTTTTGTTCTCACATCCAAAGGGGCTACAAATTCATCAGGAGCCTAATTTTAACAACATTCTGGATTTACTTTGCAAATGGTTTTCATTGGATTGTTTACARTGTGAGGTCCCTTTTGGCCTGGAGAGCAGTGATAAATAACATAAAATATAAACAAAGAAACCAAAACAAACAAAAATACCCAAACAAACAAAAACCCAAAACCAAACAAAAAAACGGAGTTTTCACATAAAAACTGAAGAACAGGATCCAGCATCATACTGTGAGCCTAATCATTAGTTTTTCATGTTAACCAAAATAGTCTCAGGAGAAATGTTTTTCCACTACAAGTGTGAATGTATTAAGGCAGGAGGGTCAGAAGTAGAGCAAATGTAAGACATAGATTTTTACTGCGAGAGTCCAATTTTTCTACTTTGGCCAAAATTGTGTTAGATTGGAAGCCATGAGAGGAGGGCAGGCTGAGTTATTGAAAAGTGAAGGAGAGGCTGGAACTTACAGGTGTCTTACTGTGTGGAAAACCTTTAAAATATTCTTATAAAATATGTTTTGTTTTAAATCTCAAGTTAGTTTTCCCCCATTACTGTAGAGAAAGACTTGTATATTGAATGTATTTCTCCTAATTATTTTTATCAGATTCCTTCTGTAAAGCACTGCTGTAACAACAGATATAAAAAGTTTATTCCAAAACATAAATTAAGGGCTAAAATAGTATTGTGGTTTAGGATTTTTTTTATTCTACATAGGAATGATTGAAGTAAGGTAATGTCAGATCCTGAGAAATTTTGGGKTTTTTTTCTTACTTTCAGATTTGCTCTCATGTCAGAATTCGTCCCACATTATAGGAGTAATTTTTTCTTTCTTTCATGATGATGATCAAACTAATTGAACTTCACAATGGCACAAAACCTTTAACTAAAAACTTTTAAGAAAAAACACAACAACCRCACTAAAAAAAAAGAAGAGTAGTGTAATGTGACTGTTAAATTTATTTTTGCAATTTGTTATGAGCCATGTCTCTTTCTGTGGGTTTTGCTGGGCAGAGAGAAAAATGCCTTATTCAAATTACAATCAGAACATTAGTGGTACTGCCATTTGTGTTTATTGAAATACACAYTTCAATATGCTTTTTTACACATTTTTTACTCAGGATTTGTGGAGTTCATACAGTGCACAGTAAATAGGATGCCATCTGCTTGTAGTATGCGTATATTCTTCAAGTCAGAATCAAAGAGATAAGAGCAGCAGAAGGAATGCTTTGATGTTGAATAATAACTCTTTCACCAAAGATTTTGTCTGGACAGAAGAGATGATGCAAAATAAAGGAATAGCCTGAAAAAGATAAGAGAAGCAGACTTTGTCAGGATTATTTGGATGCAGCTGGTGTGAGGAAAGGCACCTGCTAATTTGTAGGATTTAAATAGTTTTTGAGATAATTGGTTTTGATTTTCCTCCCTTATAAATCTGGGTAGTAATAGGAAATAACACTGAGCTCCAGAAACTTCTATTAATAGAACAATGGAAGCATTTCCATTTGGCTTAAAGGAGAGAGTTCATCATTTTACATCATGGTGTAAAAAAGCAGCTAAAGAACCTGAATTCCTTCTCCCCATGTTGGTCCCTGAATTTGGGACATCTGATGACCAGGGACATGCCTGTCCTGTGACTGGCTTAAGAGATGGCCTGCTAATAACTGTCCAGGTTTATTCTTCAGTCTTGTATTAATCCATGTCCTGATTTAGCTGATAAAGATGAGGAAAAGAAGTCTCTTCTACTCTTGTGTATTTGTTCAAGTGTGGAGCTCTGTCCCACATGTTTAAGATCAATGTTAACCTAAAAAATACATCTGTTTTAAGTGATAATGAAATACACTTCCTGGCTTCTGCATCTGATTTCAGTCACATTCTCGGGTGAGGTTTTTTCCCTGTTACTTTAACCAAAGAAGGGCTGTGCTCCCGGAGGTCCATATCATTTTTTAACATGACARCTTTGTAGAAAAACTGAAGTTGTTTGGGGAAAAAAAAGGTGGAATTATTCTGTCTTAAGCACATTGTTCCTGAACATGAGGTTTTAGTAATACATCTGGGTTTTTGCACATATAAAACGTGCAGATCTTAAACCCAAATTCCCTTCTCCTTTCAGTGGTCATCAAACTGAGTTTCTCTGGGTCATGTGCTTAGCTTTGAACTCTTTAGCAGGCAACTGTATTTAAACCCCACCCAGGCTGATCTCCCGGTGTGGGATTGACTTTACAGGCTGCTTTTGTTGCCTGATCACCAAGGTTGCTGTCTGCCTTAAGAAATGTACCACTTGAGTGTGACTTTTGTAAAGGCAGGGAAGTGTAAAGGTGCTGAAGGTGCAACTCACAAAGTATGTACCTGCTTTGAGGTCCGACTGACATTTTCAAAAACTGAAATCACAGATTTTCATACTTGAGGCTGTAGGTACTTTAAAAGGGATTTCAGAACATTTTAGGCAGCTGAGGCAACACTTTGGCCACAAATCTCCCCTCTCCACAGTGGCTTTCTGGGCCAGGGTGGAAGAGAGGAGCTGGTGCCTGGTGGAGTTGGGTACTCCCTGGAATGGGTTTGCCCCGACCTGGTTTGGTTTTCTAGCCTGGCTGCAGCTCAGGAGATGGACATGCAGAAAATGAATCCTCAAGAGCAGAGAGTGGAATAGTAGAATGTAACACAACAGTCATGTTCAAAGWGTAGCTAATGGACCAGGCAGAACCAGACCCCTGAAATAATATAGAACACTCCTACTCACCACATTTTTTTCACTTCCTTAAAACCTTGAAGGCTGACCTTCAAGGGACACAAGAGCACCTGTGTTTCAGAAAGGATTCAGGCAGTCACCTGGGAAAGGGAGTCCCAGGTTAGGATCTCTGCTTTTCTGTACTTTAGATGGATCATTCACTAACTGAAATAAATTATTAAATCCCTTGCAGTGTCTGGAAGACCTCTGCCAGCTGTGAGACCTGGATTATAAAGGGCTGAAGCATTACGCTTTATTGCTCACTTTTAGTTATAGTGCTGTTCCTTTACACCAGTTTTAAGCTAAAATGTACAGTATTACTCTTATGGAAGTTTCTTCCTTTTAAAAGAGAGCCTTGGTGCTTGTCCTGCTGGTGTCATGAATGTGGCATGCCACCTCTTTGGGCTGTGAGAATTCTGCATTGTTTTTGCATTCTGTTCTGCTGCAGATAGCCTGAAGGGGACTTGCTGGCTCAATATCCGAGACAGCCACTGTGAAGCCAACATCAACGGTGCCACACTGAAATCTGAATGCTGTGCCACCTTAGGAGCAGCTTGGGGCAGCCCATGTGAACGGTGTGAATTAGGTAGGCTCCAACATCCTGCATCTTTTGGGAGAAGGGAAGAAGTACCACTGGTAGATTCCTATCATCTCCGCATATAAAAAAAATAAACAATCAAAAAAACACCCCAAAAAAACAAACACAAACACCAACCAACGCAACCCAAAAATACCAAAGCCAAAACCCMAAAAAAAACCATATTAAAGGAAGTTGGTTTGTTTAGCATTATTTTTAATCTCCATCATCAGAGATAATTCTACTAAGCATAATATGTTTCTTTGAAGCATACCAGGAAATAATATGTGAATAAACTTCATTATGGTCACACTATGTTTCATCTCCACAAGGACTGTGTATTGACTGGGATAAGGGAGGTAAGGACTACAGCAGTAAAGTGAAATACCTGATAAAATTCTGGAGGACCTTTTATGCTGCTGCCTGTTAACACTTTTTTCCCCAGCTCTTTTWAAATACATGGTTTATATACCATTATTGACTGCAGAATAGCATTGCTATTGGGAATGCTAAATGTGCTCCAGTTTCTGGCAAAAATATTGACCAGTATTCTTCCCATAAGGTTTGAATAATGCCATGGTCAGCTGAACTACTGTCAGGATGCTTCAGCCTCTTGTTTTTAATTGGAACAGTAACTGCGGTCACACTTGTCCCCCCTCACAAGCAGAGTGCAAGCAGCATTCAGCAGAGCTTTTAACTGTGCAGCAAAAGCATTCCTTTGGGCTTCAGAAAGCAGCTTGTTCAGGTTAGACTGKTGTAACTGATCCAAACCTAATTGGTCTAGGCAGATAATTAGCTCAGATGGAGTGCATTTGGAAACTTTATTTCCTATTCTGTAACTAGTTAAATTTCAGCAAGCTCTCAAATTGCTATATGATGCTACATTTTACATGCATATCCAAAAATAATCTCATTTGCTACTTGCATTACTAAGCTTCAGTGACAAAAAAAGTTAAAATTGGCAGCACTAAAGCTTTAAATCTTCAGGCAGCTTTAAGGAATTTTACCTTYTAGCTATATCTGAGTCAAGAGTCTGATATTATTAGATGCTGATCATTCTGGTCTCCATTTGAGAAAGGACTTGAGAAAGTAATGGTCTGAGATTTAATTTCCCCAACTCTTCACTTAGTTTAAGTAGCATGTGTGAGTCAGTAGTTTTCCTGATTGAGACTAGAGCACTTCCCCCCTTACACAGTCAAATTATTAGGGAATTCTGAAGATATATTTATGTTAAAATTTTCTTTTCCTACCTTCCTGTGACTCTAAAGCAGTAACGTACCCTTCTGTCTTGATTCCAGACACAGCTTGCTCGAGAGGATTTGCCAGAGTGAAAGGTGTTAACTGTGAAGGTGAAGTTTTTGCATCTTACTCACAACGTCACTTTTCCACCACCCCCTCCCCTTTGAAAATGGGATGAAAGGGGAATTTTTGTGTTGTTTCTTTCCTGACACTTGAATTCTCCATGAAGCTGTGGTTTTCTCCTTGGGGTGAGCATGTAACTGAGCTTTTTGTGTCCCCGACAGACGTCAATGAGTGCGAGGTTTTCCCGGGGGTTTGTSCCAATGGGCGGTGCATCAACAGCAGAGGCTCCTTCCACTGCGAGTGCCCCGAGGGGCTGACCCTGGACGGAACAGGCCGGCTGTGCTTAGGTACAACCGCACCCCACCCTCCCAGCTGTGGCCCACAGCTGTCCAAAATTATTCTTAAAAGGGCTTGAAGAAAAGCATGGTTTATTTCTGAGTTGTTCCAAATAATGTGCCTGCTTAGATAGCAAATATCTATGCCAGTTTGGAGAAGAGCTATTAATTCCTTCAAGGAATATGTTTGTTTTGAGGGTTATTTTGCCCTCAGTGCAGTCAGTAGGCTGTGCTAAAGTGCTGTCCTTGTTCTGACTCCTGCTCAGGAGCCGCAGTGTCCTGGGTGACAGATGGTGAGCACAAATATGCTGGTGCAAATTGGTACTTCTCCAGTGCTCAGGCCAGTGTGTGGTTCTTTCCCTGACATTTGGGTGCACAAGAACAAGATTTTGCCTGCACACTTGGTTGATTGGTCTTTTGGTTGACCTGCTTTGCTGCAAATGGGACAGACCCTTGAGTGTAATAACCATAATTAACTTTTCAGGAAACCTTACTGTTTTCTCCTTCTAATTTGTTTTAAAGTAAGCCTAACAACAGTCAGCAGTTGTTTTGTTTGGTTTTATTTTAAATCTTAATTCACTGCAGTATTAAATTAATTTATTAACATAAATATAGAGAGGAATTTTAATTGTTTTTATATCACTATTGCTGCAAAAGGTTCATTTTGTGAGAATTACAGTATTGTAATCCAGTATTATTAGTTATTAATTATATTACACTATTATTATTAATAAAACAGATTAGAATCATCGCAGTATTATTGATACAGTAAAGAAATACATGTGTCTGTCCCATCAAATAAAAGCATAATTTTATGAGTGAGAATACCTGTTGAAGTAAAGAAATACATGTGTTTGTCTTGTCAAATACACACAAACCTAAAAAGCAGAGTCATGTCAGAGTAAGGGTGTATCTTGATATTGGGTGACAACAATGTAAATTTTTGTACTTTTGCATGGCACAAGATCCAGAAATTTAACTATAGTACAGCATTAGCAACTTCAGATGGCTGAACATTGTGCAGAAATACAGAGCCTTGAGCAGAAAGAGCTGAGGAAAACGTGTCAGCAGTGGGATAAAAGCACGTATTTGTTGTGTGACGAGCAGATACCCGCACGGAGCAGTGCTACCTGCGCTGGGATGAGGATGAATGCACGCAGCCGGTGCCCGGCCGGCTCCGGAGGGATTCCTGCTGCTGCGCCGTGGGCGCTGCCTGGGGCTCCAGCTGTGAGCGCTGCCCTGAGCCCGGAACCAAGGAACACCAGGCTCTATGCCCCAGGGGCCCGGGCTTCTCCAACAGGGGCGATGCTCTGACCGGCCGGCCCTTCTACAAAGGTAAGTGTTCATTCTTGTGCCTGAAAAATTCACTGTAGGTGCATTCAAGAGAGTGTCCTGGGGAAATTCTGGGATTTGAGGATGTTTGTGCATTAGAGACATGACATATTTGCTTTGGTTTTTTGGGTTTTTGTTTTTTTTTTCTTTTTAAGGATGCATTCTGAAGCATTTGTCTTGAACTATTTTGAGTATTTATTTTGATACATATATTTTATATATCTATATATATATATATGTGTATGTGGTTTGATATATATAATATATATTTTTAAAAATATTTTGAGTATATACAAAGTTTGTGAAAACCTTAACAGATTGGATCTCTGCTTCACCATAAATAAGTTCTGGTTTCCAGGAGTCATTACTTTCAGGCAAAGCTCTTGACATTCAGTGGTGATTTTCAAACAAATAAGGAAAATAATAACGATAATAATAATAAMAACAACAATTGTATTGTCATTTGTTTAATTAGAAAAATAAATTACTTTATAGTAATGAAATCTTGTCCMTGCTGACATTTTTTCTGGGGTTTTTACTTCCTATCTCTGCTTTTGCATTTGGACCACTATAGTGTTCTATTCGCAGAGGTATGTAGGAGATTGATGTTTATTGCACTGAAGGTGATTCCCAGCTAAGGACACTCTTTCAACAAATYGTATCACAAAGTGTAGGAAAGGTCATTCAGCTTTGTCATATGCAAAACCCTTTAACAGTTTATGTTACCCAGCATTGAGGAGAGGTGAAACTGTCTATTAAATATTCTACAAAAGAAAAAATACCATTTTCAAAACTGAACTCCAGTTATAACTTTGACAATCTCAATTTAAAAACCAAACCCAGTCAACCAGGTGGTAGTTGTACATTTCACAAGYTGGCTCAGGAATACCAAGAATATTCATATTCATTGTGTCACAAAGCAAGCTTGACCACAATGCACATACTAGAATTTCAACTTGAACAGTGTCCCTGAATTTCTGTGACTGCTGATAAACAAAAACTTTTAAGGACTGGTTTGCAAATACTGCATAAACAGTCCAAAATGTAGGGAAACATTTCACCTCCAGTCCAGCCTTCAAGGATGTCCTCTCAAATCCAAACCCTGCCTTTGTGCTCAATGCAATTGGTAAGAAGGAACAGAAAATTCCCCTTAATTCCATAGATCTTTGCACTTAATAATGATCTTTTATTTGTTTCTATTCAAAGATATCAATGAATGTAAAGTGTTCCMTGGAATGTGCATGAATGGTAAATGCAGAAACACAATTGGAAGTTTCAGATGCAGATGTAACAGTGGGTTCGCTTTAGATATGGAGGAAAGRAACTGTACAGGTGAGTAAGTCTTGAGTTTTCCCCAGTTTTCCCTAGAATCTTATCATTGTCTTGGTTGAAAGGGACCCCTTCAACCTTTTGTGGGGAGARGGAGCCCTGATGAGATGATCTAGCAGCCTGTCCATCTTGTAAACATCCAATCGTGGGGACTCCACCATGTCCCTGGGGCTTTTTGGAGGAWTTTCCTCTTGTAGCACAGCTTGGTGATCTGAAAACTTAATGCCATTAATTTCCTTCTGTTTCTAAGAGCTTAATCTTAGGACAGAATGACCAACTGTCTCAAGTTCCCCTTTCAGAAAGTGGTTATTTATTAATTATAACATTTTTCTCTTTTTTTAATTGATGTTTAAGATGCTCAGGTCATGCTCTGCCAGTACAATCTGAAAAATCAGTAAGGATCACCAGCAAAGCCAAGTTGTAACACAAAGATTATCTTAATTTACATTTCCTACTCCCTGATCATTGTATTATCAAATTAACTTAGGGACTCCACTACAAGTTAATTTTCATTTAGATTTGGTGACAAAGGCACCTCTGCAATTCTGACACTAGTGCAMTATTAAGAAGATACAGACACATGCATTTAATTTAAAAGTTTAGGATTTTGTTCTTTACTATCCGGAAAATCTGAAAATATGCTTGACAGTCCTGTGACTGTAAGAACATTGTGGGTGGCTCAGTGCTGAAAATGAAGGTTTTGTTACAACATACAGGCGTTCATGAGTGTGTCTGAGTAATCAAAGTATGAAGTGTGGGTGGTAAGGCATGCTCACTGAGGTTGGTCTGTATGCTAATGTTGCCCTAGCTGGTGATTTCCTTGTTTTTATAGTGACTGCATTGATGAAAAATGCATGTAACAAACTTTATTTTCTGAACTAACAGAAACAGGTCAGAAAGCTCTCTGCAAAAGCTTTTTTTTTCCCTCTTGTTCTGTGGGGATGAAATTATTCCACAGGGCAGCTGGAGAGAAACAGGTTTTCTTAAATAGATGACTTTTTTGCTTGTTTTAAATTAGTGAGAAAGCATTTTATAAAGCTCAAATAAAAGCCCGGATACTCAGTAATGCTCCAGATCTGCCACGTGGGTCTGACACYTCCACACATCTGTGAGGATTGAGCTGTCCTCTCCCAGCAGAAACATGGCCATGAGCAGTAGCACAAAGTCCCTTCCTGTCACACTGATCCAATCATAACTACATTACAAATTCCTCTTTAGATTTCTGACTCACTGACAGTGTGATTTAGAAAGAGATCTTCTGTTCTTTCTGCCATAGTTTTCCACAGTAAGTTTATTCAAACTTAACTACCAAGATGACAGTCTAGCTCAGATAGGAGCTAATTCCTAATGGAAAGGTTATATGGAAGCTTAATGCCTAATGCTGTTACTGGGTGAAAATCATCAGAATCAAATTCCAGTCAAGGGCACAGTGATCATGGGGTCAGTTGATACTTCTGTAACAGCGACATTTCAGAATTTCTGACACTTACTTCCTTAACAATCTAACTTTAAATTACACTTGATAATGTTTGTTACACAGTTTAATGTGACCGAAGAGCTCTGAGGACACAGCATTATGARTCTTTCCCAAACTCTTTCATGTAATCAGAAGTTTCTATAAATTGATTTTTCTGTGTTGATTTGTATACTGTGTGTGATTTCTGTGGAATTATTTTCTAGTGGCCAAGTGTTCATTTTTGTGAAAATTAGGATAACCAGCTAGATTTTTCTACTCTCCCCTGCTATAAAACAGACATTGATGAGTGCAGAATCTCCCCAGACCTGTGTGGAAGTGGTGCTTGTGTCAACACTCCGGGYAGCTTTGAGTGTGAGTGCTTTGATGGCTACGAGAGTGGATTTATGATGATGAAGAACTGCATGGGTAAGTGTTGCCAGGGTGCCCTGGGGTCTCCATTTGCTGTGCAAAGCCTGGCTGTTCTCCAACCTGGACCAGCTCTGTCACACTGGACACCTCACATGTGTCATTATTGTCATTTCATGAGCAAATGACTCAGATACACAGTGTGTAGGACAGGTAACTGAATTATATAGCTTTGCTTGTTCTTAATGCAAATTATTTACACCCTCGAGTTATACTTACTCTGCACAGGTATTTTGGAATGGTAGCAACTCTTCACCCCATTCATTTAAAAACTGCTAATGAGGTACCCAAATATTTGGTAAAGCTAGGAATAGAAAGCTGGAGTTTCAAAGGCAATGTTATTCCCTTTTCATGGATTCTGGTAGGACTCTCAGAAATTCTCACAGCAATTTCTGAAAAAAAAAAAAAATACATCTCTTTAATCTGTTCAAAGTTGTAAGAATTGATATGGAGACACCAGAAGTAACTAGCCRCCTTAAGAAATGTTGACTTAGACTCCTGCCACCTTTGCTTGTTTTCCTGCAAATTGTGATTCAGACTTTCCTAGGAGTCCAAAAGTGTGAGCGCATCCTCCACCTTGAACATCTTTTGGTTGTATTTCTCTCCACATGAGTAGTGTTAGCTGGTTTTACCAYGTTTGTCAGTCAGATATTCAGTTTGTCTTTATAAGCTGCAGCAAGAATATTCCACAGCCACAACATGGCATACACAGGAGTTATCAAACGGAGGAGCCATTTAGGTAAAAAATATGACACAAACCCCCATCAATAGAGAAGAATTTCAGTGGATACATAAATGTATGTCTGGTTGCATTAAGAAGCATTAAAAAGAAATAATATTATTACATTTGTACATTTTTCCAAAGGATAACATCCAAACTGTTACTGCCTTTGCTTGTGTCCTGTCTTATTGAATACCTAATTGYAAAAGATTAATTTAAAATTATTCTTCAGAGGAAAAATACCTATCTTTAGAGCTCATAATGATGTATAGTTTTTTGATTGCCCTGTTGTGCAGCACAAGGGAAGGAGCRGCACCACTTCCGTGAAACAATCCTTTTGTCTCTTTCAAGCACTGAGAATTGCTTTTCTCCTCATTAGCCCTCAGTAATGGTTTTATATTTGTACATCCTGGTTTGTTTGCAGACATAGATGAGTGTGAGCGCAACCCTCTGCTGTGCAGAGGTGGCAYTTGTGTCAACACTGAGGGGAGCTTTCGGTGTGACTGTCCCCTGGGACATGAGCTGTCACCATCACAGGAGGAATGCATTGGTGAGTTTCAACTCAGGATAATAGTCTTCAGCATGAGGAATGGTCATTTCTGCTGTGAAAACTTGTAATCTCTGGCAAGGGTGGGTCCCAGGGATCTCTTACACAAATTCATGCTCCTCAATTATGTGTCTTCAATTCAAAATCTAAAATCCTGTAAAATCCTCAGGGCCATTGATGCTGTTGACTCTAAAGAGGAGTGTTTTACCACGCCTCTTAGGAGTTTATTTAGCACCTCAGAGGACTGTGCCACTCATTAGGGCAACTTCAGTCAGTCACAAAAAAAGTATTGTCCTTTGTTGAAATGCATCTCTCATTTATGCACATAATTCACCAAAATGATGGGAGGTGGGGGCAGGTAAAAATAAAAAAGCATGTTACCTCTTTGGCTTCTGATCATTATGGAAAATAGCAGATTTGGTAATTAATGCCCACAACAGACTCTGTAATTAATGCTCAGASACCTGAATCAGGGAAGATAAATTTTGGGACATTGGTTCAAACATGCTGTTCAGAACTCCCTTCCTTAAACTGGAGCACACCAAGAGCAAGAAAGAAATTGATTAAAACTGAAACCCACCAGTTTGCAGTATTACCTCTCACTCTCTCTAGAATTTGAGCTGCTAAAGCAGTTAAGCATTTTCAGTTGTGACTGATGTGAATGATTCTTTCCCAGATGTGAATGAGTGCTCGTTGAGTGACACTCTCTGCAGGAATGGCAAGTGTGTGAACATGGTTGGGACGTACCAGTGCTTCTGTGACTCCGGGTATCAGCCCACTCCTGACAGGCAAGGATGCACAGGCAAGTGTTGTGCACCTGCAGCATGACTCGGTGCTTCGGTTGCATTCTTCTATCTATCCTTTTTTTTTTTTTAATTTAATTTCCTGCCTTCCTTTTGAAACCAAGCAGGGGTGTCTCCTCATGTCCTCTGAGGCTTATCATGAACTATTGTGGACTCASAAATATAAAGATGGTGTAAAAAGATGGTTGCTGTACTGCACTCAGCAGAACACTCTAAGAAAGATTATTCTTATTGTACTAATCCATTGAAATCAGAGACTTGAGCTAACAGCAGGAAAATACACTAGATTTCTTGATCAAGCTAGAAGAGCCCCATGTATTGATGATTTCTCTTTTACTTTTTCTCTTTATCATATTCATCTCTTAAATCCTGCACTACAGTAATACCTTATTATGTGGTTGCCAGCACATCAACCCATTGAAAAGGAGAACAGCAGTACTAAGACCTTATTTTATTTGTTTGATATGTTTCTTTTCTTAGAAAAATGTAGATTTGCCACATTTCAAACTTCAAGTTTCTCAGGGTTTTCCTTCTGTTCCTTTCCTTATTTTTTTCCACTTTTTTTCCCACCCATAGCAATACACAGAAACAAAAGCAATATTTAACTTGCTCCCACAGGTGAAAAAAGCAGCTGAAAGAGAGAAAAATGAACAAAGCATAAATCAGAGACAGTAGAATGAGAATAAAAAAATCAGAACAAAATGATGGATAAACTGTTCYGTGTACTAAGTAAAACGTAAAGAGAATGTTATTTTTTTTTTCCATCGAAAAGTAGACTTACTGCTACCAATGTTGCTCCCCCAGATATTGATGAGTGCATGATAATGAATGGAGGCTGTGACACCCACTGCACCAACTCAGAAGGCAGCTATGAGTGCAGCTGCAGTGATGGCTACGCTYTGATGCCAGATGTCAGGACATGTGCAGGTAAGTTTTTATACCTTGAAAGCTCCAGCATCGCCTCTTCCAACCAAAATCAACGTGGTTTTCCAGCCCATCCATGCCAGAGTGACAGAATTATTACCTGCTTTTTTTTTCCTCCCCTTAGATATTGATGAATGTGAAAACAATCCAGATATCTGTGATGGTGGGCAGTGTACCAATGTCCCAGGGGAATATCGCTGTCTCTGTTACGATGGATTTATGGTTTCTGTAGACATGAAAAATTGCGTTGGTAAGTAGCTGCGTGCACCAAATTTGGTGCAAGTCTAAAAATTCTGCAGCTTGTCTTTCAAGATGTTCTTTCTACTGAGTCCTTGAAAGTGGGTATATTGAAATTATTTATATTATTTAACAAAAAACCCAAACCTGTATGCCCTTCTTGCCTTTTGCTACAATTTGGTAAGTCCTTAACAAGGAATCAGATCACAGAGTTCAAAAGAAATTGGGGCGATTTTACTRYAATGGAACATGGGTACTGAGAAGGKATTAGTTAAGGGGCCCAGAATGGGGCACTTAAAGTAATTATTCTTTGGMAGAAAATTATTGTGATCAAGGATATGTTTTAAGAAAATGATTTAGAGTGATTCTTGTAGGAAAAAAATTACTCCGTAGTCCTTTTATTAGCATTAAAAAAAAATGAAAGCAAATGATATTTGTTTTACCACAAAGCAGTGGTATTTGGACTACACATTTATCCTTATTTGTTTTAGGGAATTTCAAGAATATGGAATGGAACAGCTGACATTAAATATGATTAAGAAAAATAAAGGCTTTGTGTGGTAGATGTTTTCACATGAAATAAAGTATTCCAAAATGACAGTTACGTTCAAGTGATAATTAATTTATATTTACTTACAGATGTGAATGAATGTGATTTGAACTCCAACATCTGTATGTTTGGGGAGTGTGAAAACACCAAAGGCTCCTTCATTTGTCACTGCCAAGCTGGGTATTCAGTCAAGAAAGGAACCACGGGGTGCACAGGTACAGCAGATTTCCAGGGAATGTTTCACATATCTTGGTTGGCTTCCAGGTGAATAAATACACAAGTGTTCACACACAGGAGAGAGAYTGGTATCTGTATGTAATAAAATATATGAGTGTTTCACATCTGCTAGCACGTGCCAGAGTTTCAAGTGGAGTTTTCCCTTACCAGTGCCAATGCTGGAGGCCCCTTACATAACTGATTGTAAAGATTTTATCAGTACCGGTCGTGTGAGCACCCGTGTTACAGAACACTGGGGTGGCAAAACTGCACTTGTGTTGGAGGAGCTTAATCACTGCTTGCTTCTCACAAGGACCTGGAGGATGAACTCTTAATTCAAGCTGCAGGAAATGTCCATGTAGTATAAGGAAAGAATAAGAGGAAAAAAAAAAAAAGAAAAGCAAAATCCTTCAACCTGTGCCAGCAGTTTTTAAAGGTCTGAAGTCATGCATAGTCACTCTGCAATCCCTGTTATGTTTTAGCATTACCTTGACTTCTGCAAGGTGTGTCCCCTGCTCTCAAGAATCCATCCAAAATTAATCTTGTGGGAAAGCTGACAGAATTTCTCCTACAATTTGATGTTTAGGGATTTGTTCTATAACTGCTAAAACCCTGGACATATAACTGTTTTATGACTGAAAGGTGCCTTTGTGCCCAAAGGCCTTGTCCCAGTTTCAGACATAACAAGATCAGCATATTTCATATTTCTGGAAAAGAGCGCTAATTTCAGCCTGAAAAGCAGTTGTAGGAAAGTAGACTGGTTGTCATGTTTACAAACAAAGGAGCAAAAATAAGATGCTATTGTCACTATTTTTTATTAATACAGAATACAAAATAACTTGCTTGAATTGTGCAATGTTTTTAAACATCTATTTTTTCAAGCGCTGCAAACATTTGCAGTGGAAATATGTAAAAGGAACAGAATTTTTAATATTCTGATGTAAATACTGATAGCTTGTTTTGTGCTTGTAGATGTGAATGAGTGTGAAACTGGAGCTCACAACTGTGACATGCATGCCTCRTGTGTCAATGTACCAGGAAGCTTTAAATGCAGTTGCAGAGAAGGCTGGGTTGGAAATGGTAATAAGTGTATTGGTAAGTAGATGGAAAATAAAGTTTTTTTTCTCTCTCCTTTTTTGTTTTCTGAAAGCATATAATGTGACTGTGTGATTGCTCCATTAGACASAAAGAATGATTCTTCTGTCTGCTGTACCCTATGGATAGATGGGTATGAAAGATTCCTGTGTTCCACAGATTTGGTTTTCTGAGACAAAACCCCCCATTTTTCTGTCGCAGAAACTTGATACTGTAACATCTTACTGAATTAACCACATATTTTATGTACAACTGCGATTGGAATGTACAAAAARGAAAAAAAAAAGAATCAGTAATTAAATGGAATTTGTTTTTTGATTTTCTGTCAGTAAGATACCTCCCGTACTTCAAGTGTTTTTTAGTGAATGTCCTGTCGTTTATTTAGTTTATACACCCTGATATRATCCAGAGTGGACTGAAGGGGTGGGAAACTTGATTCTGATTTTGCTGGGCTGCTGAAGTTGCATATGACCCCTTCCCTTCATGTTTTAGTTTGGTGGGTAAAGGATTGTAATACTTTTTGCTTTCAGAACATCTGGGGACTTATGGAAGAGGAGCTTCATCTAGCAATTAGGCTTTATTGTTGTAATGTGTTAAAGAAAATGTACCATATTATGAGATTTCTTCTTTCTTCTCTTTTCCTTCTTTTTTTGCTTTTTGCTTTTTTTTCATTTGCATTGACATCCAAGTGATTAGCTTGCATGACTCTCATGGGGCTGCACTGTGTTCACTTCCTTTTWTTACTTGAGGAGACTGTCTAAATACATGGCATATTTTTACCTCATTAGATTTCTTTGATTCAGGTTTGTTTGTTTTTGGTTTTTTTTWAATTAATTTTGAATTCAAGTTCTTTACCAGGACATTAATATCCAAGTAATGAGCCATCTGAATTCCATCTATTGCTCAGAAATATGTTGCCTAGTCCCACGCATTTTAATTTAAAGGAAGAAATATTAAAATGGAGTCACTATAGATTAACCCTGTGTCATCTAATAACAAATCTGTGTATTTATGAAGACATAAATCAAGTTTATTGTCGTGCTGGTTGGCCTGGCAGTTGATTGCTAGCCAGGTGTGCTAATTGCTGTGCTGCTTCCTGGCGTGCAGATCTTGATGAGTGCTCCAATGGGACCCAGCGGTGCAGTGCCAACGCTCAGTGTGTGAACAGCCCCGGCTCCTACCACTGTGCCTGTGCAGAGGGATTCACTGGAGACGGCTTCATCTGCTCTGGTAAGGAGTTTTGGGAAACCTGACTTGTCCCTGGTGGTTTCTCTCTTGTATGGAACCTTTGTGAATTGGACCTAAGCCCAAAGTGCAAGACGATGAAYCTGAATTGTCATTGAAAATCAAGATTCTTCTGTCTGCATATGAAATGCCAACAAAGGCATCTGGTTGTTCTTTTCTTTTGTATGCCAGCTGGACCCACTGGGTCCATTGGTTGGGTGAAGTTCCGGGCTGCTGCTGTTTCTTCCTCTTCATCTTCTTGCCAATTATTTTGRACATGCATGTCCTGCTTGCAGCAGTACCTTTGGTCAAGAGCACTAAAGGCCAGCTCTGTTGTAGTTCCTCTCTCTGGCATCATCCATTTTCCCTTCACTCTATTGGTAGAACAGGATTTCATGATTAACACAGGACTTTTAAAAAATGAAAACATAACTGCAGTTAAAAAACACTGCCCRTGGTCTCTTAAGTTTAAAATTGTAGGTAAGTGCTCACTCTTAAGAATGAACATTGTTTTTCACACAGGGAGTGACTCAAACTGACATGCATTATACAAACTGTAAAGATTTTGTATTAAATATTAATGACCATGTCTTGAGCCACTCTGGTCTTTGTCACTTAACAGAATGGAGATGCAACATTATCTCTGCTCTTGACTTTTCACAGATCCTGCATTTGGTCAGCATATTGGAAGGTTTGAAGAAATGTATCGTAATGATAGTAAAACACCTATAAACTACTCTGAATGCATTCATTATTGACTRACTGGCTAATCATAAATAAAACACAATTTACATCTTAGAAGGCTTTTTGATTGGTAGCAAAAGGTTTTTTTACTTCAGAATAAGGACCTTGCAAATATTACTTGTTTTTTTTATTTCAAGTTTTTGATTAATGAGCACAAAGTTTTATCCCAATATTTAACTCCTGGGTTTTTTT